GAAGCTGGGGCTGCGAGGGAAGCCCAGGTCCCAGGTGCCGGAGGGAAGCCGGTGCAGGCAGCTGGGGGAAGGAAGGCCTACTCTTGCACGAATTTCGTGCATCGGGCCTCTAGTGAGGATATACTAGTAACAGTGCAGATCCAACTGCACAGGCCTGGTCTCAACCCATTGGTCAAAAACCATCCCAGGAAGTCCTGGATGGACTTAACCGAAAGGAACACAATGCAGGAGTCCGAGATGCAGCATGAGTGGACGGCCCCCTGTGAGCCAGGGCTGCTAGACTCTGCTTAGGAATTTGGGCCGATTAACCATGAGCAGACCCTTTTGACTGGTATAACCTTTTCCGGGTCAATAATCTTTATTAGCAAAGTGGGTGTAAGTAACAGTGACTGAGACTGAGAACATCAACGGCATCTAAGTGCGAGGGTAACGTTCAGACAAGAAAAGGAGATGCTGTCTGGGAGATGCTGAGACGATGGCTCAAGGAGCGGGAGGGCGCGGCTGGTCCTTTGGGCTGGAGGGGTTCTCTCTTGCCCACCTTCCTCTCTTCCCCTCTCTCTCTGTTTCTTTCTCCCTCCAAGGTAAGCCTTCTGAGCTCCTCCCCTTTCCATCTGTCTCAGAGGATAATTGAGGGGCTTGCCCGCCTGCCTCTGAGCTAGGTTTGCTCCACAGCCTTCAACGGCATGTACTTGTGGGGCTCCTTTTCAGCCACTCCTCGCCCCAACACTGTTACCCTGTTGTCTAGTGTTCATGGAATTTCTTCTTTATAAATGCTCTTTTATAAATGTTTGTTATGCAGACACCTTGCACTTCAGTATTTTATTTCATTTTTAAAGTAACACACTATAAAGACAGACATATAGACCCAGAATAAAATAGAGCCCAGAAATAAGCCCTCACATATATGATCAAATGATCTTTGCAGGGGTGCCAACCCATTTAATGGGGGAAAGACAGTCTTTTCCATAAATGTGCTGGGAAAACTGGATATTCACATACAAAAGAAAGAAGTTGGTCCCTTACCAACACCAAATATAAAAATTAACACAAATGGGTTAAAGACCTAAGTATAAGAGCTAAAACTATAAAACTTGTGGAGGAAAACACTGTGTAAAAAGCTTCAGAACATTGGACTTGGTGTCTCAGATATGACACCAAAGGCAGAGGCAACAAAAAATATATAGACAAGTTAGACCACAACATTTTTTTAATTTTGTGCATCAAAAACACTATTAACAGAATAAAAAGGCAACCCACAGAATAGAAAATACATTTGCAAATCATATATCTGATAAGGGATTAATATCCAGAACTACTAAAAATCAACAGCAGAAAAAGAAACCAAACCAAAGGACTTGAATAGACATATCTCCAAATGATGGCGGGGGGGGGGGGGGGGG